AATGAGGTGGTAGATGTTTGGAGACATATCTTCCTCACATCATTGTATCTCTTTTTATTGAAATGGTCTTTTACCTCTTGTATTTGTACTCTTAATTCATTCCTTAGATCTTTTAGTCAATTGACATTCTAATTATCAGTTTTTTAATAGTCTTTTTTATGGTGGGTTTCTTTGGGGGGCATTATATGTTTTGGGGAAACACTTGATTTCCTCTTTGCTCATGTTTTCAGAGTACTTAGACTTGGGCTTATGGTTTTCTCTTCCTCTTTTATGCAGGTGTGTAGTCCTTTGGTGTGTAGTTATCTTCTTCTTCTTCCTCTTCTTTTTTATTTTCCTTGAGATTTCTTGTTTTTGCTGTATAACTAGATGTCCAGGAGTGAGACTTGAGATCCCTTTCTTCCTGTTCCTACTTGAGGTCTGTTATTGGTTTGGCTTTTTTTTCCCTCTCCCTTATTCTGTGTGATGAAATAATGTTGAAGCTTGAATGGGGCTAGTTGGTGTGTTGAGTGAGAATCACTGTCACTTGGCTGAATTGTGAGTATAAATCAGCAGCAAGATCCCTCTACCATAAACTTGTACTGTCATTTTTCAGCTCCTCTTAAATAAATTGGGGAGCAAGGAAGAGCAATATTGGTAGCAACCCATATACAATCTTTTATTTATTTTTATTTTTTAGTTCTCGGCGGACACAACGTCCTTGTTGGTATGTGGTGCTGAGGATCGAACCCGGGCCGCACACATACCAGGCGAGAGCGCTACCACTTGAGCCACATCTCCAGCCCCCATATACAATCTTAACAGAAGTGTCTGGTGCCTACTAAGACATCTATAACACTAATTACCACATAAAGAGGAACGGTGGGGTCAGCATTTAACATAAGCAGTAACAATAAACAGTCATGAACTAGATCTAACATTAAACAGCAGGTATCACCTATTTTAGCCACTGTATTAATAGGCACAACAACATGAATGGTGGGGGGTAGGAATTATGTAAACAGCTCTAACAGATAGTGAAATTACAGTTTCTTCAGTGAAGAGAAAATAAGTTAGGAAGGCAAGAGAAAGCTTAAAATATTTAAAAAGTGAACAGAAAGTAAGCAGGAGAGAGATAGCAGTTGAGGACTATAAAGGAGAAAGAGTAATGAACAAATAAAAGCAATAAAATCAATAAAGAGAAAGAAGAGAATACAAGAATATTTGGCTATTTGAAAAAAATAAAATATCAGGGGAACAAAAACAAAAGTAAGACAAAATAGCTAAAAAAAATCAAACCAAAACAAACTCACATAAAATTTTCCCATTTCAGGAGACATACTGGGGAAAAGTTTTGGCCAAATTATATTGTTATATTGCATGAATGTGTGAATATGCAACAACAAATCATACTATTATGCA